GCACAGAAAGAGCACAACTGTTCACTCAGGCAAAATATAGTCATTCACACTGGATGTACACCCCGAACAGGTGGGGCAAAGTTTTGGATTTGAAATTCTATTTTATTCCTGTTTGTCTCAACCCAGGCAATCAATGAGTGCCCTCAAGAAAGTCAGAAATCTTTCCCCTCCACATCTCCGATTGTTGTTCCTGGTCCTTTTGTTTCTTGCCCTTTTCCTTTTTTAGACTGCCACAATAAGGTTCGGAACCTTGTTGTTGTTGTTGTTTAGTCGTTTAGTCGTGTCCGACTCTTCGTGACCCCATGGACCAAAGCACGCCAGGCACCTCTGTCCTCCACTACCTCCCGCAGTTTGGTCAAACTCATGCTGGTAACCTCAAAAACACTATCCAACCATCTCATCCTCTGTCGCCCCCTTCTCCTTGTGCCCTCCATCTTTCCCAGCATCAGTGTCTTCTCCAGGGAGTCTTCTCTTCTCACGAGGTGGCCAAAGTACTGGAGCCTCAGCTTCACGATCTGTCCTTCCAGTGAGCACTCAGGGCTGATTTCCTTAAGAATGGATGCGTTTGATCTTCTTGCAGTCCATGGGACTCTCAAGAGTCTCCTCCAGCACCATAATTCAAAAGCATCAATTCTTCGGTGATCAGCCTTCTTTATGGTCCAGCTCTCACTTCCATACATCAATACTGGGAAAACCATGGCTTTAACTATACGGACCTTTGTTGGCAAGGTGACGTCTCTACTTCTCAAGATGCTGTCTAGGCCTGTCATTGCCCTTCTCCCAAGAAGCAGGAGTCTTTTAATTTCATGGCTGCTGTCACCATCTGCAGTGATCATGGAGCCCAAGAAAGTAAAATCTCTCACTGCCTCCATTTCTTCCCCTTCTATTTGCCAGGAGGTGATGGGACCAGTGGCCATGATCTTCGTTTTTTTGATGTTGAGCTTCAGACCATATTTTGCGCTCTCCTCTTTCACCCTCATTAAAAGGTTCTTTAATTCCTCCTCACTTTCTGCCATCAAGGTTGTGTCATCTGCATATCTGAGGTTGTTGATATTTCTTCCGGCAATCTTAATTCCAGCTTGGGATTCATCCAGCCCAGCCTTTCGCATGATGTATTCTGCATACAAATTAAATAAGCAGGGAGACAAAATGCAGCCTTGTCGTACTCCTTTCCCAATTTTGAACCAATCAGTTGTTCCATATCCAGTTCTAACTGTAGATTCTTGTCCCACATAGAGATTTCTCAGGAGACAGATGAGGTGATCAGGCACTCCCATTTCTTTAAGAACTTGCCATAGTTTGCTGTGGTCGACACAGTCAAAGGCTTTTGCATAGTCAATGAAGCAGAAGTAGATGTCTTTCTGGAACTCTCTAGCTTTCTCCATAATCCAGCGCATGTTTGCAATTTGGTCTCTGGTTCCTCTGCCTCTTCTAAATCCAGCTTGCACTTCTGGGAGTTCTCGATCCACATACTGCTTGAGCCTTCCTTGTAGAATTTTAAGCATAACCTTGCTAGCGTGTGAAATGAGTGCAATTGTGCGGTAGTTGGAGCATTCTTTGGCACTGCCCTTCTTTGGGATTGGGATGTAGACTGATCTTCTCCAATCTTCTGGCCACTGCTGAGTTTTCCAAATTTGCTGGCATATTGAGTGTAGCACCTTAACAGCATCGTCTTTTAAAATTTTAAATAGTTCAGCTGGAATACCATCACTTCCACTGGCCTTGTTATTTGCAGTGCTTTCTAAGGCCCATTTGACTTCACTTTCCAGGATGTCTGGCTCAAGGTCAGCAACCACACTACCTGGGGTGTACAAGACATCCATATCCTTCTGGTATAATTCCTCTGTGTATTCTTGCCACCTCTTCTTGATGTCTTCTGCTTCTGTTAGGTCCTTACCACTTTTGTCCTTTATTATGGTAATCTTTGTACGAAATGTTCCTTTCATATCTCCAATTTTCTTGAACAGATCTCTGGTTCTTCCCATTCTGTTGTTTTCCTCTATTTGTTTGCATTGCTCGTTTAAGAAGGCCTTCTTGTCTCTCCTTGCTATTCTTTGGAAATCTGCATTCAATTTCCTGTATCTTTCACTATCTCCCTCGCATTTTGCTTGCCTTCTCTCCTCCGCTATTTGTAAGGCCTCGTTGGACAGCCACTTTGCTTTCTTGCATTTCCTTTTCATTGGGATGGTTTTCGTTGCTGCCTCCTGTACAATGTTACGAGCCTCCACCCATAGTTCTTCAGGCACTCTGTCCACCAAATCTAAATCCTTAAACCTGTTCCTCACTTCCACTGTGTATTCATAAGGGATTTGACTTAGATTGTATCTTACTGGCCCAGTGGTTTTTCCTACTTTCTTCAGTTTAAGCTTGAATTTTGCTATAAGAAGCTGATGATCTGAGCCACAGTCAGCTCCAGGTCTTGTTTTTGCTGACTGTATAGAGCTTCTCCATCTTTGGCTGCAGAGAATATAATCAATCTGATTTCGATGCTGCCCATCTGGTGATGTCCATGTGTAGAGTCGTCTCTTGTGTTGTTGGAAAAGAGTGTTTGTGATGACCAGCTTGTTCTCTTGGCAGAACTCTATTAGCCTTTGCCCTGCTTCGTTTTGAACTCCAAGGCCAAACTTGCCAGTTGTTCCTTTTATCTCTTGACTTCCTACTTTAGCATTCCAATCCCCTATAATGAGAAGAACATCCTTCTTTGGTGTCACTTCTATAAGGTCTTGTAAGTCTTCATAGAATTGGTCAATTTCAGTTTCTTCAGCTCCAGTAGTTGGTGCATAAACTTGGATTACTGTGATGTTAAAAGGTCTGCCTTGGATTCGTATCGAGATCATTCTATCATTTTTGAGATTGCATCCCAGTACAGCTTTCACCACTCTTTTGTTGACTATGAGGGCCACTCCATTTCTTTTACGGGTTTCTTGCCCACAGTAGTAGATGTGATGGTCATCCGAACTGAATTCGCCCATTCCCGTCCATTTTAGTTCACTGATGCCCAGGATGTCAATATTTATTCTTGCCATCTCATTTTTGACCACCTCCAACTTGCCCAGGTTCATGGTTCTTACATTCCAGGTTCCTATGCAATATTTTTCTTTACAGCACTGGACTTTCCTTTCGCTTCCAGGCATATCCGCAACTGAGCGTCCTTTCGGCTTTGGCCCAGCCGCTTCATCAGCTCTGGATCTACTTGTACTTGCCCTCCGCTCTTCCCCAGTAGCATGTTGGACGCCTTCCGACCTGAGGGGCTCATCTTCCAGCGTCATAACTTTTATATGCCTGTTGTCTTTGTCCATGGAGTTTTCTTGGCAGGATACTGGAGTGGCTTGCCGGTTCCTCCTCCAGGTGGATCACGTTTGGTCAAAACTCTCCACTATGACTTGTTCATCTTGTGTGCCCTGCTCGGCGTAGTTCATAGCTTCTCTGAGTTCTTCAAGCCCCTTCGCCACGGCAAGGCAGTGATCCATGAAGGGAACCTTGAGGTTCCCTTCATGCCACGGCAAGGCAGTGATCCATGAAGGGAACCTTGAGTTTCTGTTAAATGCATGAATACGCTCCACATAAATGTTTCCCTTTCATAAGAGTGGGCATGTGGTGGTGAGGAGCTGAGAAGAATCACGACAGTAGCGATAATGGAAGGTGGACAAGGGTGGTGGGCAACCTTCAGGAAGGTTGAAGTGAACCGTGAGACCCACAAACCCGATACCAGATGCAAAAAGAATTATAGACGGAAGAACTGAACTGAGTTAATAGTTTGTGTGTGGCAACTTTTTGTTAGACTACACCCTCCCACCTCTTTCCAATCTTCATTCCAGCAAAGAAACTGGGTTGGAGGAGTTGCTTTGTTGGCGGCATGGGAATCAGAAATACTTGCTGACATAGGTGTCAACTCCCTGGGTTCCCAAACACCCACAAAATTCCCCATGAAGGGGTTGGACACCCACAAATTTTGGTGCCAGGGCCATGAACGCTGCATGGCACTCACGGCCACAGGGCCAAGTTGTCACTCCTGCTTGCTGATCTACTTCAGATTACCCAGAGATCTACGCTTCTCTGGAGCAGAGGACAAATAACATTATCCTATTCTACACTTGAGGAAGTAGTGATGTATGGAAGTGAGAGCTGGACCATAAAGAAGGCTGATCACCGAAGAATTGATGCTTTTGAATTATGGTGCTGGAGGAGACTCTTGAGAGTCCCATGGACTGCAAGAAGATCAAACCTATCCATTCTGGAGGAAATCAGCCCTGAGTGCTCACTGGAAGGACAGATCCTGAAGCTGAGGCTCCAATACTTTGGCCACCTCATGAGAAGAGAAGACTCCCTGGAAAAGACCCTGATGTTGGGAAAGATGGAGGGCACAAGGAGAAGGGGACGACAGAGGATGAGATGGTTGGACAGTGTTCTCGAAGCTACCAGCATGAGTTTGACCAAGCTGCGGGAGGCAGTGGAAGACAGGAGTGCCTGGCGTGCTCTGGTCCAGGGGGTCACAAAGAGTTGGACACGACTAAACGACTAAACAACAACAACACTTGAGGAAAAGAGAGGAGAAAAGAGCTTTGCCACTGTTATTATTGTTTTATTATTCAGCTGCGCGTGTCCATTTCAGTGCGTGAAAGTAACAAAATGTCCCGCAGACTGAGGACAGATAGGGTTATTTTCGCCTACTGTACTCTTGCAGAACGCGGAGAGAGAGATGGAATGGACTTTGCCATTATTGTTATTATTCAGCTGCATATGTCAATTGCAGCGCATGCAAATACGAAAACGTACTGCATGATGGCAAACTGACATCAACTGTGTGTGGTGGTGATGGGGGAGGCAGCTTAAATCCAAAACCCCTGCTTAGGAAAGCGCAGCAACTTGATTTGATAGAAATCAACCCGGCTGCCTCTTCTGCCAGCTCCGCCCCGCTCCCCGCCTCCTTTCTCTGCAACAGTTGCTCAGGCGCCGGCAGGGGCAGGCGGCGCCGAGGGGGTGACGTCACAGGCGGGGGCCTTCGGCAAGCCGGAAACCGGAAGCGCCGGCCTGGGACCGGGTGACGTGTTAAAGAGTGGGAGCTGTGTGAGAGCCCAGTCAGCCGAGCGGCCGCCATGGAGGCGCTTTACCACCAGACCAACAAGTGCGTGTGCGGGGCGGGAGGTTGCAGTAGCAATAATAATAATAGTAATAATAATAATAATAATAGTAATAACCAGAGTACCTCCTTCTCGGGAGGGAAGGCGGCGGCGGGGCGGAGGTGTTCCAGTAAATGGGGGGAAACCGAGGGAGAGCCGTGGGGTGGAGGGAGGTTTCAGTGGGGTGGGTGTGGGGGAAGGGAGTGATATCCATGGCAATGGGACGGAGGGCAGTAATATTCCAACTCATAATCTGCATTTATATGCCCCCCGTTCGTATATGTGAATCGTAGCAACAGCCCTGCTGTACCAGGTCAGCATTGAGTACAATGGTACCTCGGGTTACATACGCTTCAGGTTACATATGCTTCAGGTTACAGACTCCGCTAACCCAGAAATAGTACCTCGGGTTAAGAACTTTGCTTCAGGATGAGAACAGAAATCGTGCTCCGGTGGCGCGGCGGCAGCAGGAGGCCCCATTAGCTAAAGTGGTGCTTCAAGTTAAGAACAGTTTCAGGTTAAGAACGGACCTCCGGAACGAATTAAGTACGTAACCAGAGGTACCACTGTACCGGCTTGCAATTTTGAGGGAACGGTAGGCAGGGCAGCAGGAGGGCTTCGTGAAACTTCCTCCAGAACGAATTAAGTTCTTAACCCGAGGTACCACTGTATTTATATCGAGGAGGAGGGGCTGAGTGGAAGGCCACGTAAGTAAAAAGTCCGTGGCAATTTGAATGAAGTGTAACCTGGTTCTGGTGCCTGCCTGCCTACCCACTGAAAGATCTTCATGCAACGTCTCTGAATCATTCACCTGACGGTGTCTGAATATGAAGCACATCGCCTGCTATATTGGGGGGTGTAGCCTTGGCACTTTTGTCACTGATTCTCGGCCGAACAGCAAAGGCAGTGGTAGAAGCTTTTGATAAGTAGGGTGCGTGGGGGTGCGTCTGTTTACGCCACCAAAAAAGTTCTGCTAGCAAAAGCTAGAGCGGCCAGTAGTTCTTCTTTGCAGCAGTTGGCCAGATGTAATGATACAGAGCAGTATTCAAATGCACTGGAGTTTCACACCCATCTGTCGCTCAAGAGGATTTGCTTCCTGCCATGAGATCTGCTGCATAGGCACTTGTTGAGATTTTTTTTAGGGGGAGGACCTAAAAAAGTTTTGCTGCACTGCCACGGCAAAAAATATAAACTGCTGCCTCCACCGCGCAACTCCGAGCACCATGCCACCCTCTGTCTCTGTCGCACAGAGGTGCCAGAACACACCAAAGATGTGACGGAACTCAGTTCCAGTGAGTTCCAGCTGAAAAACGGGCCTGGGCCTCCATTTCAATTCAGAAGTAAGAAGTTTTGAAAACACAGCCCTGGGTGGGGGAGATTGTGAACAGCAGGATGGGGATAAATAATTGGGGGCATATTGGGAGGGAAGCGAGAACAGGAAAGAATAAGGGTGATGATTCTTTGTGTAGGGGTAGAAGCAGCGTGAAGCTTGGGAAGCAGGCTGAGTATTCATGTTGGGAAGAAGGGAGGAAACAGTCATTGATATGGGACACCAAAGGGTAACATCAGGTGGCAAGGACAGAGGTTCACAAATAGGGACTATTTGTGCCTGAAATCAGCACCAGTAAATTGGTGGATACACTTGGGGCTCTGGAGGGTAGAAGAAAAGGGAGATCACCACCTTAGTGACTGTCACGAGGGCTGCTGTTTTAAATCTTTCCTTCTCCCACCTACAATGAGAGACTTCATAATTGGGAAGGGGAGTAAGTAGTCCTGGTATCAGGAGTCAGGTGATAGTTAACCATTGTTTACTATGTAATCTTATTCATGTCTACTCAGAGGTAAGTCTCATTGAGTTGTATGGGTCTTACACTCAGAGAAATGGGGATAAGAAATGTGCAGAGGGCTTCTCACTTGTATCTTGTTCATCCTTGTAACAACTCAAAGGTCATCTATTTGGATACTGGGCAACCGAGACTGAAACTAATAGAGTGATTTCTGTGCCATTAAAATCTAAGATTGAGCTGTACTTTGATTCCCCAGATTTACACGTGTCGTTTAAACTACACAAGGTCCAGACTCTGTTCTCTAGGCACTGGATCACAGTGGATTCCTCCCTCCCCCTGGCCATAGACACATTCCTTTTGTATTGTGTATAGCTTTGAGTAGTAGCTGTGTTCTGACAAACTCAACTCTGACCTGGGTGGAAGGGATGGCTTTCAGATTTTCAAAATCCTGAGTGTTAAACACAGTGCCTCTTTAAAACAGACTCTTCTTTGCCATCACCCTTCTAATCCTAGAGTGATTCTTTGCCATAATGGGTTGCCAATGTTTTTGAACCCATGAGCAAATTTGGAATCTTGTAAGAGTGCCATGGGCACCACTTCTTTGGCTTCTCTTTCTTGCCCCAGACTGAGTAAGCACACACAGAATCTTTGATTTTCCAAGGGGTCTGGATAAAAGCTGGAACCAGTGGAACTAACATGGCTCCTCTTGAATTTGCATGATATTCACAGCATCCTCCAAAATCCACCATTATATTAAAGCTTAAAGTAGTGCAACACACAGTATGAATACCACAGACCCAAGGCATGGATCTTCATGACTTTTGCCTGGGATGTTAAAACCGTCAACAAACCACGGAGTACATTTGTGGGTAAAACGGTCTCCTATCACTTGGTGGTGGTTTTCAGGAGAACTGTGAGGATCTATAAGAATTCATGCATGTTGAATCCCTGTTGTATCATGGTGGTGCTAGAAAGCACCAGATATGTGACTTTTATACTTTGGTCAGTGGAGATAGATTTGATGATGATTGGGGAATGAGGGGAACTCATAAGACCAGTATTCAATTTCAAGAGGATCTATTTTACTGGATCCAACGTTTATCTGTGTGCATCTGTAACAGCGAAACCAGATGTCTTCCTCTGCCCCAGCTGCAATAAAACATGTCCCTCCGATGTTGGTCTGTACAGCCACAGCAGCTGCTGTATCTTTCCAATGGTTTGACTTCATCTCTGATGGTACATTCTTCCATTGTCTCTTGAGGCAGATGGATGCCAGCAATATATGCCTTCTCCCTCTCTGTCTCCATTCCCTTTCTCTCTTTGGTTACTTGCTTCTTGTTCCCTTTTACCTCAGACACTTTATAGTCTGTTAAGCTGCTGATCCGAGCTTGAAAACTATATATCATGCTGAAAGAGGAAGTGGGAAAGAGCATTATTCTTCCATCTTCTTCCTTTACAACTCTTTAGTTTTCAGTGGGTTGGGGGAGATAACAGCCCATGGCACTTCATGTGGGGTGTTCAGGGCTTTGTGGGTGCCAGGGGAAGGCCTCAAGGGTGCCGTTATGCCCATGGGCACCATGTTGGCGAGTGCAGTTCCAGCCTATTTCTACAGTCTAGCACTGAACTTTGTAGCCAAGTCCTACATTCCTGCATCTTACGCTGTTTAATCTTTAAAGCTTTAAAAACCATACACCTTGACAATCTGATGAAAAGAACATTACATGCCCTTATGGTGTTTTTCTTTTTTCTTTAAATGTCCAGAGCTAGTCATGGACATACCATGTGCTCAGTTTTGGCAGTTTTGGCTCAGTTTTGGCTCAGATGTTGAGTTGGCATGTTCTTGAAAACCTTCCAAACGTTAAAACGCTAAGCAAGGTTGTGGAGACTTCAGAGGTTGCTGTTGTCATGCTTGTTTCATCACCTGGTGGAGCCTGTTTGTGTTGACTAAAATGAAAATGAGCTAGAGATAGTTGAGTAAATCATAAAGAGTTGGACTGAAGGCTATCTCATTCAATTCTCTGTCCCAAACCAGCAGAAACAGACAGATCCAGGGGTAGCCAAGCGGGTGCCCTCCAGATGTTGACGTTGTTGGACTCTCAGCACCTCTGACCATTGGCCATGCTGACTGGGGCTGATGGGAGTTGGCATCCAGCAACTGGGGCTTCCCCAGAATTAGTCCTTGATCCCTTCTAGGCTCTAGGGATACTTGGCTGGGATGATTTCCAAGAAGGTGCTTGCAAAGTGAATGGCTCTCAGTGGCATTGCTAGTGTTGCAGTGTTTTGAATTATGGTGCTGGAGGAGACTCTTGAGAGTCCCACGGACTGCAAGAAGATCAAACGTAACCATTCTGAAGGAAATCAGCCCTGAGTGCTCACTGGAAGGACAGATCGTGAAGCTGAGGCTCCAATACTTTGGCCACCTCATGAGAAAAGAAGACTCCCTGGAAAAGAATCTGATGTTGGGAAAGATTGAGGGCACAAGGAGAAGGGGACGCCAGAGGACGAGATGGTTGGACAGCGTTCTCGAAGCTTCAAACATGAGTCTGACCAAACTGCGGGAGGCAGTGGAAGACAGGAGTGCCTGGCGTGCTCTGGTCCATGGGGTCACGAAGAGTCGGACACGACTAAACGAAACAAAAAAAGTGTTGCAGCCTTTCTGTCTTGCCCATCAGACTCTAGCACACCTGAGCTGCTTCTCTTTGTCAGATGCTGAGTCTAATGATTCCCCCCCTTTTTATTGACCCCTGCCTTTAGTCATTCTCTTGGTGTGCTCAAGTGATTTTTCTGCCACGCATCCGTTTCCAGGAGGTGCCCGTGGGGCAGAGCATTCTTCCCCTCCTGGCCCTACCTGATCTTCCATGTCCTGTTGCCTTTTCTCTGCCTCTGGCCTGATATCCTCAGTCTGTTTCCAAAACAGGTTTTCTAGTTGGCAGGGCTGAGCCATTCCCACCATACTATTCCCACTCTTTGTTTTGGAGGAGATCCCAAAGAGAAGTGCCAGATAATCACGGCGAGAAATACCAGCTTTTAACTTTCTTGCCTATAGAGTAGAGTGGCTCAAGTGCAACAGTGTTCATTCAGAATTTGGATGGTCCTTTAGCCAATGGAACGAGATTTCTAACCAACTTTGCATCTGGAAACTTTCTGCTGCCTTAAATACATTGAGGTTTCATTCATATAGCATATTTATTTGACGAACACATAGAAAAGAAGGTCAAAATAGGCTGTGTTAATTTTACATGCTACATAAATATTTCAGATATTTTCCCAATAGCCATAATATGGTTGAACTGAAATACTGAACTGAAATACACATATTGAATGTGTTTTAAAATGTTAATTTCCAAGTCAGACTTTGAATTTGTTTGAAGTTATCTTCAATTTAATTATTGTAAATATATTAAGACAAGACAATTCAAAGGAGTAAGATTCTGTTCAGATTTTAAGGGAGGGCAGAATGATGGTATAGAATATGGTTAGCATATTAAATTCTCAGCATGCTTGTGTGCACAAATATAGATCCTTCCCCAAAGATATTCACCTGAAAATTGCTAATTACAAATTTGATTTTAGGTTGGACTGGTATTATAGCCTTTCCAATTGACTGATTTGACAGATATTTATCAGTTTGTTACGTTGCAACCTAATTTTTGAAGCAGTGCATTTCTAAAAATGGAAAGAAGTTCATGCGAACCCAGCATTGTCAGCAAGACTGCATAAATTTATGGCCTTAACCCCCCCCCCCAAACCATTTCCCCACACCCATGCCAGTCATTTCTGCCATAAGAAGAAGAGTAGTGCCATCTTTTGCAAATATTCCCTCTCTGGTCACCTGGAGGCAATTCTTACCACAAGTGATGAGGCAGGTTGCTTTTTGTATTTCTGCTTTTGCCTGTGTCCTTGTTGCCTTGTAAAGATTTCAGAGAATACAGTGGAACCTTGGTTCTTGAGTGCCTTGGTACTCGAACATTTCGGCTCCCGAACACTGAAAACCCAGACTTAAGTGTTCCAGTTTTCAACCGTTTTTCAGAAGCTGAATGTCCGATGCAGTTGTCAGCTATGGTTTCCGGGGCGTCTGTGCCAATCGGAAGCCGTGCCTTGGTTTTTGAACAGTTCGGAAGTCAAACGGACTTCCGGAACAGATTACGTTCGAGAACCAAGGTACCACTGTATATGAGAAATGTTTAGGAAATCTGTTCTGCAAAGTATGAGATTACATACTGCCAGGATGGCCATCATAGTACCTGTGGACGTTGTGGCTGTGGACGTTGTTGGACTCCCATCAGCTCCAGCCCGCACTGTCAGGGATGATGGGAGTTGTAGTCCCGCAACATGTGGAGAATATCAGGTTGGCTACCCTTGACTTGCACAGTATTTTTCCTATTATACCAGGGGTTTTACTTCAATATTCTGATTGCTCTGAGCACTGATGATTCATTTCTGCCGTGTGTTTGCCTTCTTGAGAAATCCTCCTTTTCTGCCGGAACCCTTGCGATTGACTAGAACTTTTCTTCTTTTCAACAGGCAGGTCCATGAGGTCCAGTCATACATGGGTCGCCTCGAGACATCAGACAAGCAGTCTGTCCACTGTGAGTAATTAATGGAAGAGGGTAACCTCACCATTGGCTTGGCCAGTGCTCCCTGACCTGTGTTTCCAATATGTGCCCAAGTGAAACCATTAATATGTTTTGACCTTTAGGTGGTGTAATGGGTCTGTGCGTATGGCTGTTAGCCAGAAGGTTGGAAGTTCAAGCCCACCCAGGGACAGCTGTGGGCAGGATTCCTGCATTGCTGGGGGTTGAAATAGATGACCCTCTGGGTCCCTTCTGACTTACAATTCTCTGATTCCATTTTGCTGTACAGTGGTACCTCGGGTTAAGAACTTTGCTTCAGGATGAGAACAGAAATTGTGTGGTGGCGGCGCAGCGGCAGCAGGAAGCCCCATTAGCTAAAGTGGTGCTTCAGGTTAAGAACAGTTTCAGGTTAAGAATGGACGTCCAGAGCAAATTAAGTTCTTAACCCGAGGTACCACTGTAGTGAGTGAAGGGTAGGATATGGGGAAAGCCATGGATGGTAGAGTTTTTATATTCTCATTAGCCCAGTGGTGTAAATTGCCTTTTGGAAAGGCACTTCAACATACAAATAATTGCCAAAAAAGAGATGTTGGTGCTGGCAGGTCACATTTTAGAAGAAGCATTCTTCTATGACTAGGGTGGGTAACATGTGGCCCTCCAGATGTTATTGGACCACAGTTCCTTTATCATTGGCCATCCTGGCTGGGGCTGATGGGAGTTGGAGTCCAACAAACTTGAGAGAAACCACACTGAAATATACTGCACTACATGGCCCCTGTATGCTCTCTCATGTGCCCCTACAGGCTGGCCCAAGTTGTTGCCCCATGTTGGGCAAAAGAATCCTGCATGGCAGGGGGTTGAACTTGCCTTCCAGTTCTGTGATTTTATAATCACCTTTGGTGATAGTGCTCTAAAATGCAAAGATTCTGGCTAACTATTCATCAGGCTTGTGAAAAAATACAGGCGAGATGATAATGATGATGATGATAATAATAATAGTAATAGTAATAATAATAATAGTAGTAGCAGCTTTTTTTAGCAGAGCTTGCTTTATTATCTTGGTTTATGAGTCCAAAGAGGGAATTAAAATGTAAATTTAAGGACTTGATAAAGTGTTCTCTAGTAGCATTAGTCAGTAACACAAAGGTGACTTGGGCACTTGAACGATTTGGATACTGCTGCCTAGCTAAGAAACTTTTGGACAGTTGTAATTTCTGAGAAGATTATTCACAGTATCAGAATCCTGCAGTGAAAAAAGAACCCACAGGTGGTTATTTCTCACAAATGCATCTCATATGTTGGCAGCAAGAATATTTGCTGCCAACAGCAGCAGAAATTTGGACAGCATGAATCTCTGGCTATATATAAAATGTCCTGCCCCCCCCCCCAAATGTATGCGTATTTGCCCATCGTGCCCTGAATAGAGAGGATTTGTTCCTTGTTTTGTTGCTTTATTTTCCACATTCCATAAAATACTCCAAACAAATGTTTGCAATACTGCTACTGACAAGTGGCTGAAGTGGCAGGGCATTCCTTGCAGTCCCTGGCCTGATGGTTGTGGTGGGCACCTTCTCCACCTAGCTCCATGATGGGTGGCACTAGGAACATTAACACCTTCCACCTTCTCTGGTAGAAATCTCCCATTTCACACAGCGTGGGCAAGGCTTAACTGGCAAAGCCTGGCAAGAAGGTATTGTGCTGGTTAAAACAGCGAGTGTCCATTTGGCCCTGATGTTTCTTACCTTTCCCCCCTCATCTCCTCTTTCAGTGGTGGAAAACGAAATCCAGGCGCGAATAGACAGGATCTTCAGCAACTTGGAACGGTTGGAAATCTTTTGTAACAAGGAACCTCCTAGCAAGCGGCAGAACGCCAAGCTGTGAGTTACCTTCTTCCTCGCCCTCCCAAACTACTTCCTGTGTCTTGGGACATATATTAGTGCAGCCTTCTGACCTGTCCTCGGGGCAAGTTGTGGTTGTGGTTGTTGTTGCTGTTGCTGTTGTTGTGATGGTACTGCATTGCTTGCTGCCTTCCATATGGGATAGAAGGTGCAGGGCAATAAATTTATTATTACGAACAAATCAGGCTATGTGGCAGGCTTTTTTCTTTCTTGTGCCTGTGAATGTTTTCTTAATTGCACTGATTTCCAAAAGAACTTGAAGGCAGCTTAAAACCGAGCTCTTAAGGAAAGAAACCTGCTGATACAGGAAGCCTTTGGGCGGTATGGGAAAGAGACGTGGGGATCATAATTGCAGGTCATACATGGCAATCAGTTTGGCACAACCCAACCCTACGAACAATCTCTGCTCGTCTTCAGGAGGCTTCACTTAAAATTATATTTCACTGGCACTGGACTCGTCTAGCCAAAATAAACACTAGCATCTCTCCTCTTGCTGGAAAGGCTGCAGAGTGATAGGTTCATATTTTCATGCTTGGTGGAGTTGCATGATAGCATGCTCCTTTTAGAAAAAGGTGTTTCCTATTATTTCCAAAATTACGCAGCAATCCCTTCCACCCAATTCAGCTCTTGCCTTATTCCCATTAGACTCAAATGTAAACAATAGCTTTTAATGCAGAGATTTTGTGTGTGTGTTTTTTTTCTATCATCAGCAACCTGATTCACAGTAGCCTGATACTGGAAACAACCCATAGAAATCCCCATTGAAATCTGGGTAAATAATATTTGGAATAATGTAGCTCTATCGGGTGGCGCTGTGGGTAAAACCTCAGTGCCTAGGACTTGCCGATCGCATGGTCGGCGGTTCGAATCCCCGCGGCGGGGTGAGCTCCCGTCTTTCGGTCCCAGCTCCTGCCCACCTAGCAGTTCGAAAGCACCCTTAAGTGCAAGTAGATAAATAGGTACTGCGTTATAGCGGGAAGGTAAACAGCGTTTCCGTGTGCTTCGCTGGTGCTGGCTCGCCAGAGCAGCTTCGTCACGCTGGCCACATGACCCGGAAGTGTCTCCGGACAGCGCTGGCCCCTGGCCTCTTAAGTGAGATGGGCGCACAACCCTAGAGTCGGACACGACTGGCCCGTACAGGCAGGGGTACCTTTACCTTTACTAGCTCTATCGGAATGCCTCACTCACCACAGATGGGTAATTAAAGGCATTTCAAGGACAGACACTTTTGGCAAGACTTGGCTTCCTTTCTTTTCCTTTATAAATAAGACAGAAGATACCTTTATTCCACCCACAGCACAAGAATCTCTGTGGAGACTATACTTGAATTGATAATGCATAAATAAATGTACAGTTGTACCTTGGAACCTGAACGCCTTGGTACTGAGACGTTTTAGACTACTGAACGCTGCAATCCCGGAAGTGAGTGTTCCGGTTTGCAGACGTTCTTTGGAACCCAAACATCCGACATGGCTTCCGATTGGCTGCAGGAGCTTCCTGCAGCCAATCAGATGCAGTGCTTTGGTTTACAGAACAGATTCCATTCAACTTCCAAGGTATGACTGTGTTGCTTGTGTACTGCATATGAAACTTAATAAGAATGTACCATAGGACAAGTTACTGTAGCTAGACGTTGTTCTTGTATTTACGTGAAAATCAAAGCTCATGGCTTTCTTCCTCCTTTCTGTGACTTGTCGTTCTCAGACGAGTCGACCAGCTGAAATACGACATCCAGCACCTGCAGTCAGCGTTGAGGAACTTCCAGCACCGGCGTTACGCACGGGAGCAGCAAGAAAGGCAGCGGGAGGAGCTTCTGGCCCGAACATTCACCACTAACGTATGTCCTCCCGTAAAACCAGTGGATTTGTGCTAATATTCGCCTCCCTCCCATGTCCCAATGTTCATCTATTTAACAGCTGTCATTCTCAAATGGGGTCTTTTTGGGTGGCGAGAAATCATGGGGTTTAGCACTTAAGGAGATCAGCAACGATGTCCAAACTCACACAAGGCAACTTTCCCACCACTGCCAATCTTCTCCTGTAATACATGGGGAGTTTTCTTAGTCTCTGAGGACACATGGAGCGGCAGCTCGATTTTGTGGGAGTCACACTTATGTGGAAATGTAAGGACAGAAAGTTTGAACTTCACTGCTGCAGAGTAATGCCGATTTTTTTTTAAAACAAAACCCAAAACATGGGCTTTTGTTGACACCCTTGTCCTTCTGGGTTCAGAGTGCCAAGGAAAGATAACCAACATGCTTCCCTTCCCTCCTCCCCCTTTGCAGGATTCTGACACCACCATTCCGATCGATGAAACCTTGCAGCATAACGAGTCCCTCCAAAATGCTCACCGTGGCATGGATGATCTCATTGGCAGCGGGACCAGCATTCTGCAGGGCCTGAGGGATCAGAGAATGACATTAAAGGTGGGCATAGGATGGGACCCCCCTGTACGGCAAAGCCAAGTGTAGCGATCACACACAGGGCCCCCGGACGTTTGACGGTCTATTGACCCTGTGCCGCCACTGCAATTTCTTTTTTTGCTGCCACCACCCCGTATCTCACGGGGACACACAGAGTCCAGTCAGTTGTTAACATAAACAAATAATCAAGTTTATTTTTAAATGCAGGAACAAGCTTATGGTTTCAGTTAATTGTTCTTTTGTCAGTTTCTTATTCTTAGTTCCTAACAGCTCCAAACTGATTATTCCAACTATCTATCTGACTCTACCTAACAATTCCTCTCACTCTCTCACAATACAACTCTACCAGCCCACTGCCTATTCCTCCCTCTTCCTTCTTCAACTCCCCAACCTCAACCCTCAACTCATCTCAACTTTCAAAATCTCCCACTCTAACTTTTACTCCCCCCTTGCATTCTCACTGGCCAATCACATCCCACCTATTTTAACCCTTATGACTCATCCTAGGAGGCAAACGCCACACCAAGCTTCTGCCACTTTTGAAACCGCTGTAGCTGCACTCGAGGCTTTTGGACACACCCAAATTCCACACGTTGCAACCGTAGCATTAATTCAACCTGTTGGGATTTCTTGTAGCTTCGTTGTGCACTACTGCGAATTTGGACAGCATTTTGCAAATTTGCTCCTGGATAAGAAGATCCGAATATCAGTCCAGGGAGGGGGCAAAGCTGTGGGGTGGAGAAAATACTTTGCATGCAGAGGGTCCCAGGTTCAGGAACCTTGGCTCCACCTGTTAAAAGCATCTGCCTGAGACCATGGGGAAATTCCTTTTTTCCTGGTTAAAAGGCAGCTTCTTGTGAATTAAAAGAGAATCTGAAGGTTGCCTATCCTACCCAAAACGTTTTCCTGAATCAGGATCCTCCATGCCAGCGGTTCCTAAAAAGAGCAAGACTATTTGCATATGAGGTTTCCCCTACCTTCCCTCTTCTCATTGGCCCACCGTTCCTTCACTCCACTGTTTGCCCTCCTCCTCCTCCTCTAGCTATTGCTGGCTCTGGTCTCCTTCCGCCCTTCAACCAGTCGTTCTGCCTCCTTGCATCTCCATCACTTTCTGCTCTCGGGGTCTTCTTCCTAACTCTCTGCCCTGTTCTCTGGGCACTCCACTATCAATGGCACACAGCTTCTGGGGTCCCTAAGCCACGCCGGGTGCTATTGTCTCCCCAGGCACCACTCCCTGCCGCACAGAGGTTAAAAGCTCAAGTGTCCTCGGTAGCCGCTGACGTAAATGCCGTTTCCCAACCCCGTGCCTGTTTTTATTCCAACCCCAGCCCTTTTCCTCTGGAAGAAGCAGGCTGGGTGTGGTAGGCTTGAGCCACCGGGCAACCCCTGATATTCCTGCCAAGCTAGAGAAACCGCTTCCCTGCGCTGCCCTGGCCCCACTTGGAACACAGCTGTCCAAACACCCACTCCAGCAGTCTCTCGCCTCTTAAGGCGTTACAGGATGTGACCTTGCAGGCTTGAATGTTCATTTTGGAGTGATGTCACCCTGGAAATGAACTGTAGCCTTTTAGCATCCCGTTGGTAATCACATCGGATCAGATGAGCATGTCGACGTGGCTCTCCCTAGATGGAAGCTCACAGGCTGAATATTTCTAGATGGAAATGTGGAATGCTCCTTTTCAGAGTTCTGGGGTGAGAATTCTCATTCTTTGTGTAGCTGCGTCTCAGTAGATAGCACGGAGGTATCACACCTGTAGCATTTCTTGGCTCTCTTCTCACTGTTGCCCTACACAACGACATGCCTTTGCTGCTGTTCTTGGAGCCACTCCCGATTTTTCCATCACACCAATTGTGGCACTGCTCCAAGACAGATTCCCTGTGGAAAAGGAAGCATTGGGGTTACATGAGTCTTCAGCATAATTCTGGCTTCCTAAGGGAGGACCTCAGTGAAGTGAAAGCCTTCACCAAACACAATTTTAAAAGTGAAATACAGTGGTACCTCGGAACTCGAACAGCTCTGTTCCTGAACGTTTTGGCTCCCGATTGCCAAAAACCCAGAAGTAAGTGCTCCGGTTTTCAGAACACGAACGTCCAACACAGCTTCCGCTGTGCAAAAACCTAGCTGTCGGCCAATCGGAAGCCGTGCTTCAGAACTCCAAACATTTCGGAAGTCGGACGGTGTTCCAAAACGGATAACGTTTGAGTTCCGAGGTACCACTGTATATATATGCAGTGGTACCTCGGTTCCCAAACTCCTCCATTGTCGTATGTTTTGGTTCTCGAATGCCGAAAACCCGGAAGTAAATGCTTCTGTTTTCTAACTTTTTTCAGAACCAAACGTGAGACGCAGCTTCCGCTGAGTGCAAGAAGCTCTTGCAACCAATGGGAAGCCACGCCTTAGTTTTCAAACCTTTCGGAAGCTAAACGGGCTTCTGGAACAGATTACAATTGAGAACCGAGGTACCACTGTATATGGAATTTGGCCACCAAAGCTTTCTTTTTAAAAAAAGGCATTCTCCACTGTGGCATTTTGTTCCATATCCCCCTGGCCTACCTGTGATTTCTGACTCCTGGTGAAGGGAGGAGCCATATACCTTTGTTTGTTATTGCGCTGATTCTGATTGGTGGAAGGCTGTTCCTCCTCCTGCTTCCTGGTCCTATCAGAGCACAGGTAAAACCTGCATGGAAAAGCAGATGGGTGATAGCCATGAGACAGGTTGTGCTTTCCTGGTGAGAGCTGTGCCTCTCTAGCACTGACCTTCCAGCATATGGGCCATGACCCACAACCCTGTTGCTACCCAGCCTAAGATGCTTTGTGAGAGCACTGGTGCTGCCATTTTTTTAAAAAAACCATTATGTCCATTTGTCTAAAAGTGTTCCTGGAAAGGAAACTGCTAAATCAAACAGAGGGTTCCATATTCCCCCTTCCCCCCCAAAAAATTAAGTGTTGAAAGTATGGTTTTGGGATGGCATGGTAAACCTAACCAACTTCTGACAACAGAAGATCAGCAGGGGAGCATGGAGGCAGAGGAAAGGAGATGGGAAGGTGGAGTGGGCCCTGCAATTCAGAGGGATGTGGAAAGCAAGTCCTTGCTCTGTAAAAGCTCATTCTGCTTGGACGGCCACCTGTCATGGATGCTTTAGCTGAGATTCCTGCATTGCGGGGGGTTGGACTAGATGACCGTGTGGGGCCCTTTCCAACTCTACACTTCTTTGATTCTCAGTAAACAACATCTGACTGTGGAGGATGCCGAAGCCATTCAGAGAGTCTGCCTGTTCGTTTCCCTAACGTTGCTACTTCTCTTTCTCTCTTGCTCTCTCTCACCTTCAGGGCACCCAGAAGAAAATCCTGGATGTTGTAAACATGCTCGGCTTATCCAACACAGTCATGCGCCTCACTGAGAAACGTGCCTTCCAGGATAAGTACTTCATGTTCGGAGGCATGATCGTGACCTGCGTGCTCATGTTCCTCATAGTGCAGTACCTGACGTGAGCGGCGAGAGAACTTCCCAGCGGACTGTGATGGACTGACTGCCTTTCTTCATAGACTCCCAACGTAATGGCGAACCTCCTGCCTTCTGGACTGGTCATGTTCTCTCCTTACAGCATCGTGAGATGGCTCAGATTTAGCATACGTCGACTCGGGCCCTTGGTGCTGAAGGGGTGCTTACAAAGCCACACGGTGCTGAGATGCGATGTAATTCTTCAGCCAGGTGGTGGGCTGTCTCTCTGTGCCCCATGCAGGTTTAGAGGACATTGGCATGCGGTTGTCATGCGCTGCTCACAGGAGCGGTGCACATTCATGTGGTCACAGAACCCCTGTGCAATCGTGACGGAACCTAAGAAAACTGCACGACTGTGCAGTCTGTGGACCTGCAGACCCACTTGGTGTTCTTACGAACCAGGTTACATACATGAACGTTGTGGTCAGCTGAGCGGATTTGATTTATTTTACCTTAATATAGTCCCAGGATGCAAGGAGAGTATTGTCCTGCCATGGCTGAAACAAGTAGAAATCTTCATGGGCCAAAAAGATCTTCTTTTTCGGAAGCTGTGTGCCTGCCTCTTATTTAGAATAAGCAGATCCCGAAGGCTAGACAGCAAGGTAACTCATTTTTGAACCATAGTAAAATATTCAGGGTAATGGATGGCAGCAGTCACCCTCCACTTTGCAGAAGCTAGCTCTTGGTGCAAAAGGTTTGGGGCAGAACTGCCGGCTCAGTAGGTACGTTTCTACGGGGACACCCTGGCTGCTATTGGAAGTATAATATATTTGCAAAGTTACTTGCAAAAGGCACTTATAAAAAAAGGTTTTTATCACAATCAGGGCCACTGGGTCACTTCACAAATAATAGTCTGTAGCAAGCACCCTGCACAACAGCAAAGGATAGGAGATTCTCAGTTTTTAATTTTAAAAGTTTCTAGTCTTCATGGGTACAAGTGGAGGCTTACAAAGATGAAGCCTGGCTTTAATGACTGTCGAGATGACGATGGCAATGCCATAAATTCCGTTGAACAAGATTGACTGACTCACATTGTAACCTGCCCCCATCTCCAAAGATCTCATTTTATTTTATTTGTATTAAATTTACATACCGCGCTATACCCAGGGGTCTCAGGGCAGTTCACAGAATAAAATCAAGATATAAAAGCTCAAAATACATAAAAAACAACAACAACCCAATAGCCCCCCCCCCAAAAAAACCACATTTTAAAATGGCATAGGATGTAAATCAGATCAACCAAAGGCCTGGTTAAAAAGGAACGTTTCTCATGAATGCTTTTGTTTGAGCAACAGGAAAAGGCAAAAACTGGAAGCTGGGCAGTAGTACTCTGCCGGCTTATAGGTAAAGTAAAGGTAAAGGGGCCCCTGACCGTTAGGTCCAGTCATGACCGACTCTGGGGTTGCGGCGCTCATCTCGCTTTATTGGCCGAGGGAGCCGGCGTACAGCTTCCGGGTCATGTGGCCAGCATGACTAAGCCGCTTCTGGCGAACCAGAGCAGCGCACGGAAACGCCGTTTACCTTCCCACCGGAGCGGTGCCTATTTATCTACTTGCACGTGCTTTTGAACTGCCAGGTTGACAGGAGCAGGGACCAAGCAACGGGGATTCAAACTCGGTGATTCGAACCGCCGACCTTCTGATCGGCAAGCCCTAGGCTCTGTGGTTTAGACGACAGCGCCACCCCTGCTTATAGGTAGCTAGAGATAAACATGCAGAGACGTTACCCCACCTTGCAGCCAGCAAAGCGGGCTCTGTAAACTGCAGGAGACCTGAGGAAGTCTGTGCCACGTGCTCAGGTTTGAGCACATCGTTGAACAGTTGGCACGTTCTCTTCTGGTTGCAGATTCCCATACTTACAGGCCGTGCTGCACTTAATCGCTGCGTTATCAGGGGTTGCAGCGTGGAGCATTTTCCACCCCTGCCAAACGCATTAGCACAACAGCAGCTTTTTGCCTTGCGCTGAAATAAACATTGTAGTGTCACGTAGGAGTCGCTATCTGGGCCCCGTTCCTTTATAATCCCATATTTGATTCTTGCTCCATTCAAACTGATATCAACAGTGTTTGATTTGGTTCAAGCAGATTAAAAATGGCTCCAAAATAGCCAGGGTAAACATTCAACTTAGCTGCGGTTTCTTCACTCTACTCCTTTCCCCCCACTCTGGCGTTCCTTGCCTACCCTTTTCCTCTTCAAACTGAAGTGCCTTTCCTTCCCTCTTTGGAAAATCAGGTGCTGTGTTTAAGAGGAGATCTATAGTTGAGCAGTTTTCTAGGCATCTGTAGATGTGCTATGTCACATTTTTTTCTTTTTAAGGTAGGATTCCAAGAGAGTTCGTGTACGCGTGTTTTTTGTTTAAATAGGCATTTACTGTATTTTTCGTTCCATAAGGCGCACCTAGTTTTTAGAGGGGGAAATCAAGAGAAAAAAAACTTATTACCCCCCCCCCCAGCCCCAAAGAGCAAAGAAGCCAAGATGGACCCTGCTCGCTGCCTTGGCTTTTGCTCTCCCAGCTGGAGAGCTTGCACGAGGCTTCCTTGGCTAAAGAGGAGGGGCTGCGCGCAGCTATGGCAATACCCCCACCTCCTGCAAAAGCCCACAGGAGCCGCACACCCATTAAGGAGCACGCGGCTCCTGCGGGCTTTTCTACGAGGAGGGAGAAGGGACTGACTGGCCGCGTCAGTCCCTTCTCCCTCCTGGGGAAAGCCCGCAAGAGCCGCACGGAGCTTGGGGGCTTTTCCTGCCTGCCTCCCCCCTGCATTCGCTCCATAAGACGCACACACATTTCCCCTTACTTTTTAGGAGGGAAAAAGTGCGTCTTATGGAGCGAAAAATACGGTAACTCTTTTAGGTTTCAGGGAGATGCAGGAGGGACACCATGAGAGCAAATGATCAATTAGCACTAAATAATCAAAGTCCAGCAATCTGGCCTTCTCAGCTTGGATGCCAAACTTCCTAAGCAAGAAAAGCAGACGTCTCTCTTCTTTGGAAGCACCCAGTTCCACGCATTCCTTCTTCCCCAACCCCTGGTTACGTGCAACTGAGTAAAAGTGGCTGTTACAGTGATGTTATAGAGCCATGGTTCCCAATTGGTGGTCCACGGACCCCAGGGGTTTCACATAACCCCCCCTGGGGAAGGCAGGGTCCGGGGCACCATTTACGTGACAAAAACTACCACAGAGATATCAGCATTTTCAAAAGTAGGAGGTCCATGGCTTGGCTTTTGAAAAAACGGGGGATCTACAGTACTTGGATAATTGGGAACCACTGTTATATGTTCATGAACATTCACAGCGTTGAGAGTTATAATCCGGAGTGACTTCGTACAAGTGGATCAAAAGAACATGAGTGGAGCTGAAACCGACAAACTTTACTTTTCAAAGCCTTTTTGATGGGAAAGGAAGTGACTGAAATTCTAATCTGCACCCAGTGGAATTATGTGTGCCTCGGGTGGGAAAGGGGTCTAGTGGCCACAAAGCCCAGCCCCGTAACTCCCCCTTACCCACCATAAAGTCTCCTGATCTGCTTATTACAATCCACAACTACGTTGCTCCGCAGGCCCCAAGGTAGAGGTGCTACAGAAAGTATCCCTGCAAAAGCAAATGGTAACAGGTGGCTCAAGTGAGTGAGCCATTCCTTCCCACGCTTCAGCCAATGGCAACCATCCACCCAAGTTGGCAAGTGGCCAATGTGACAGTCTTTCTAGCCAGTTATCCCAAGGAACATGCTGGAGAGATGCTTCCTCTAGCTGGCGGGACCACAGTTCAGACGCCAGGTTTGAAATTCCAGCATATCCTTAGTGGAAGTATCCGGCCCCGGCTTGCTCCTAATAATCTTAATTCTATAGGTGCTGCAGGGATTTCTGGGAGCAAAGAGAAGCGGCGATCCATAGGGCAAGTGGTTAATTATTTCCCTGTTTGGCACTGTGCCGTCGGCCTTCCAGGCTGTTGACGCCATGGAACCAAAGTTTATCGTGTGTAGTTTTAGGTTCAAGGGATTGAGAGCACAAAAGCGGGGGACACCCTTCTCTTTATGCTGGCTAAACACACTTGTGTTGGAGATAAAACTTCCCCGTGTTATCTTGTTTCCTCTTCAATCGACTTGCTGCCGCCGCTGCACCAAGAGATGTTTAAGAGCCCTGAAGTCTTTTTGCAAGCAAGGCTCTCCCTCTAGTGGTGGTAAATGCATTTTTCACCTTTTAAAGATGTTCAGGTTTTGCCCTCCCCACTTCCAACCAAAGGAATTTTAAGCAAACTGTGTAGCCCCTATCCCATGGGTAGGCAAACTAAGGCCCAGGGGCTGGATCTGTCCCAATCGCCTTCTAAATCCGGCCCGCAGACGGTCTGGGAATCAGCGTGTTTTTACATGAGTAGCATGTGTCCTTTTATTTAAAACGCATCTCTGGGTTATTTGTGGAGCCTGCCTGGTGTTTTTACATGAGTAGAATGTGTGCTTTTATTTAAAATCTGGGTTATTTGTGGGGCATAGGAATTTGTTCATTCCACCCCCCAAAATATAGTCCGGCCCCCCACAAGGTCTGAGGGACAGTGGGCCGGCCCCCTGCTGAAAAAGTTTGCTGACCCCATATCCTTTAATTCACCGGCAAATTATGCAAACTCCAGGTTCCTCTGGTGGTGAACTGAAAAAATCTCACCTGGTGACTGGCTTGTGTACTCCAGTACAGTACAGTAGTACCTCGGGTTACAGACGCTTCAGGATACAGACTCCACTAACCCAGAAATAGGACCTCGGGTTAAGAACTTTGCTTCAGGATGAGAACAAAAATTGTGTGGTGGCAGCGGGAGGCTCCATTAGCTAAAGTGGTACCTCAGGTTAAGAACAGTTTCAGGTTAAGAACGAACCTCCGGAACGAATTAAGTTCTTAACCCGAGGTACACCTGTACATGAATAACCTTTTTAAAAAGCTGTTGACAACACAAAATCCCTCCTTCAAAATCAGACAATGTTGGTGCCTTGGGCTGGGACACAGCCTCAGTGGCGTGGATTGGAGGAGCGGGGTTGCTACACACACACACACACACAGAGCCACCCACTTCTAGCCTGCAACATCACCCCCTTGAGCCAGGCAGCGGTCACATGCTTTTGCAAACCAGGAAAGAAGAAAGAACAGCCCTTTCTTCTGATTGGCTACCAAGCCCAAAGCTCAAAAATGGTGTTTCATCCAACATTACTGCAGATCGGCAGGTTGTCTTGGGTGCAGAGAGGCCCAGACCTTGTCCAACTTTTGAGGTCTCTAGCCAGAACGAAAGGGAAAGGGGGAAGGGAAGAATAAGGCACCTCCCTCCAAAAAAGGCAAAACATACCGTATTTTTCGCTCTATAAGACGCACCAGACCACAAGACGCACCTAGTTTTTGGAGGAGGAAAACAACAAAAAAAATATTCTGAATCTCAGAAGCCAGAACAGCAAGAGGGATTGCTGCGCAGTGAAAGCAGCGATCCCTCTTGCTGTTCTGGCTTTTGTGATAGCTGCACAGCCTGCATTCGCTCCATAAGACACACACACATTTCCCCTTACTTTTAAGGAGGGAAAAAGTGAGTCTTATAGAGCAAAAAATACGGTAATTTGAATATTTATTTAAAAATGAATGCTCTTGGAGCCTTTTTCTGTTTTATTGAGGCAAAATCTAGCTTTTGTGCAACTCCGCAGTCCACGCTGCACCAAACCACATCTCTCACGTGCTTAAATTGGCCGCTCTTAGCTGAGAGAGAGGATGCCGCATTTTGGCTGGCCCAATGTGCATAACCACAAGTTGGGTCTATATCTGAGCACCGCCTCTGACCTTGATGCCCAGGTCAAACAGCTCTCCTGCGGCCCCTCCCAATGTAGAAATATTTGGAAGATTGGTAGTGGGAACAGAAGAGCTGTGATGCAGAAGACCAAGGCAGTTTCCTCCCCTCTTTTTTTATTTAAACTTTTGAGTTTCCATGGAAGCTTCAATCAACCACTTTAGCTTTGCATTTTACGAAGCTAACCAGCAGAAGCTGGTCCATTAGGG